GATGGAAATGAAAGTGTACAACAGTTCTGTCTCCGCGTGGGACTAAACTGCAGTTGATTTAGGAAAATGAGATTGTGAACTTGAATCTACTGGGGGAAAAAATACAAACCAAACAACAATCCAACCCTTACTGCTGGTGGGGTCGGAACTGACTCAGAAAACTGCCCTCAGGTTTTCAGAGGCTATAAAGTGCACAGGAGGAAATTGCCTATCTTTCTCCCAAGGAGCCACTGGTGGATTTGAACCATCAGAAAGGCACCCTCATTGAGTTAGGGACACAACCTCTACAGACCATGCCACATTGTTTAGGTGAGAGAAAAAGTTGCCATGGAGAAGTAAAGACTCGGGCATGACCTTGAGACTCAGGAAGACTTGGGAGCTGTGTGTTCATTTATCCATTCAGTACTTCATGCAACAAATGCCTGGAGAGTGAGCGTTATAGGTCAGATATGGCTTGTGTCTATGGAAGAGAGTATGAGAAAAGACTAGACAAATATACCAGGAGAGAAAAACTTCTGGAAATGCCACTATGGAGACTTATGTGAGAGAAAAACTTCTGGAAATGCCACTATGGAGACTTACGTGATTTGAGAGTGTAAATTAGCCTAAAATGAATTTGAAGATCTGATTTCTGAACATGAGGCTAGTGTGGGGAGTAGGGGATTGCTGTAGAGGGATTGTTCCTGTAGACTGAGACCATTTCAGGCCATGTGATTGTTTCATCTAAAGTATCCCCTACCATACCCCGCTGTAGGCCTGCAGGGCCCAAGAATTGAATCCCAGCCAAGTCTCCTTTATAGTCCCCTTTCCTTTCCTATCAGGTTCCCTTAATCTGGCCCTCACACCACGTGCCAGAATTATCTTCCTAAAGCACAGCTTTGATAGTGGCCCTCCCTTCCTGACATCTTTTAAATGGCTTCTCATTACCTGTAAATCCAAACTCATTAGTGGGCTAGTCAAGGAGCTCCTAGGATCGGATTCTCACATTTTATTTTGAACCTGCCTCTCACTGGTCTTCAGCGGATACCACACTCTGTAGCCCCATATTCATTCTTCTTTTCCGAACAAACCCTGCACGCTGTTTATACAGGATTTGCCCCTTGCTTCTTCACTCTACCTGCTAAAACACCGCAAGGCCAAAGCCAGAACCTGTGTGCTCCCCACAAGCCTTGCTGTGCCCTTTCTTCTCTGTCTACACTCTACCTAAACGGACAGGGCTTCCTTGTCCTTGACTTTCTGTCCTTTGTTAACGGCTCTTCTTGTTAGCAGCTAACGAGTCAGTTCTCACTCCTGGTGACCCCATGTAAAACAGAACAAAACATTGCTGAGTCCTGTGGCATCTTCACAATTATTGGCATGCTTTGTCTTAGAAATTAGCTGATGTTCTAGGCAGTTCAGTACAAGCATCCTTGAAATAGCTCGTCTTTTTAAAATGGAAGATAATTGCCTTAAAATTAGTAGTACACCTGCTTTGTCCTGCCATCCAGCATTTCAAAGTCTGTACGTGTAACATGGAACACGCACCATATATTGGCCTACGCTAATTCAAAGGTACCAATGAATTGAAGTTTGAAAGTTTTAAAAAGTTATTTCTTTTGTTTGTTGTTGTTGTTGAGGATAAACAGAGCAAAAAGTGACAATCCAGCAGTTCCTACACGAGCAGTTGGATGACACTGGTAACATTTTTTTCAGCCATTGTCCCTTCCCTGTTAACATAAACTCACTACCTCCTAAGTTACTAGTCATCTTTTCAAGTGGTTTTTGTCGCTTTGACCCCATATAGAAAACTCTCAAAATAGTGTAACATGCAAGGCAGACACCTTTTACTATTTTATATAAACTTCTGTTTTAGGAAGACGTGAAGGTTTACTTTTGGTTTTAATTTTAAGATTTTTGCAGGACCGTCATTTCAGGGGTTTATCCAACCTTCCTGGATCTGTAAATTCTAGAGTCCATGAGAAATGGATTTTTTTCTTTTTTATATCTCCCCTCTTTTGGTCAGGATCTCTCTAAATAATTATTGATCAAAATGTTCCATAAGTAGCCAAGCATCATCCAGCTCCTGTCTCATGCATAAGGAGACTCTTAAGCTACACATTGCATATCTTCTTTATGTCTGATTCTCTTTCCCCTTCTGATTGGCAAGATGAATGGAACCAACATGTGCATTGGATGGCTGATTGCAAACTTTTAATATCCTAGGAATGATACAAATAGCTAGGAGATAGAACAAAAGCATTGAACACAGTGGTAGGTCATTTAACTGTATTGTTCCATGAAACCATGACCCTAAACCTGCATAACAAAGAATCAAATCTCAGGAAATTTTTTTGGTTTGTAAGTTTGCAGCCTCAGAAGCTACTTTTTGTTATGCTGTGGGTTTGGGGGGGGGGGATTTCAGTCATTGTTACACTTGTATCTAACTATAGCTTTTGCCAATTTAACTTCCAGGAGATCTTTATGGGGAATTTTCCTCAACTTTTGCCCCAACCCAATAGTAACTTTATAGGTAGGTATCAGGGATATAAAATGTAACACTGCGGAAGTAGCATTAGATGTCTCAGAAGAAGTAAACCTCTGCCTAATAAGAAAGCATGGCTTCCTGTTGGTATGGTTAATGTATGGGCTCTCGGCTATGTTGGACAGCTGGACTTCTAATGCTTAAAGAGTTCATCCTCAACCATCTTGATCTCTTTGACAGCTAATTTGACTACGTGATACTATTAAGGTTGTTTTCAATGACTGTTGACTTGGATAGGACTTTTTAAAAAGGTAATAATTGGTTCTAGGCAGATCAGTCTACATGAGATAAAGACATTTACAGATCAAGAAACATTAACTGTTATCATGTCTAACTAATTGTCACACACCACCCCCAAGAGGGGATTCTGTCCTTTTTGTCGCATGAGTCACAAGTGGCTTGTTCAATGTTCCCTTGACAGCTTTGGGAAGATCCTCCCCCCTCCCAGACCCCAGTCTCTCATGGGGCAGCTTCTCTTCCTGAAATGCTGGATTCATTGGATTTTGCTCTGCCTGGAAGCTGTTGTAAATGCAGCGCTGAGCAGTTTCAGGAGCTGAGTGTGTTGCTGGGTGTCTCTGGGGAGCAGGGTCCATGTTGGAGCCTCACTGTCCAGCTGGCTGGCTTCCTCACAGAGTGTTAGCTGAAAATATGCTGATTCCAGGAGGAGAAAACACACGCTCCATCTTTCGGCTCTTGGTTCTTACAAGTGTACCTTTGTGGATACCCTTGGGCATTTTCCAGTGGGCACCTCGGGTAGCTGGTTTTTTAAATTCATGGGCTCAGCGGTAGAAACTTCGAGCGTTCAGCTGTCTAAGAAGGCCTGCATGTGATGGAACGGACCACTGGAGAGCAGAGAGGATGATGTCTTGAGATTTTGTGCTCTTGGGAATGTGCATTAGGGCATCTTTTTTTGGCTTTGAAAATTGTGAGTGTGAAATTGGAGATTATGTGATATGAATGAACAAAGATAGAGAGAGAGTAAGTAGTTTAACTGAGCTTGAGATGGTCCAGAGAGAGCCTGAGTCTTTTTTTTTTCTCCTTTGGGAGCAAAGCAGAGGTGAAACTTCTGGACTGATTCCTGTCTCACGGTCAAGCTACTTGAAACCAGTTACCATCGCTCTAACTCATGGCAATAACATGCATGTTAAGAGTAGTGGTCTATTTCAGAGGGTTTTACATGATTGGTATTTCAGAAGTAGTTTGCCAGTCCTTTCTTCTGAGGTGTCCGTGGGTGGCCTGGAACCTCCAACCTTTTGGCTAGTACTAGCGTAGTATAAACGAGTGCATTAATCATTGCCCTAGAAATGCCGTGCTCCCTTTCTCTTTCCTTGTTACATAGACAAAGTGTCATCTGATATAAAGAACTAGAAAAAGAATGAAAACCATCTCAGGTCGCTATTTTTAGCAAACTGCTTTATAGCAGCGAAATGTCTTTGGTGTCAGTGCAACCATTTTTAGAGTGTGTTTTGTGTTAATCACAGTGTTCTAAGTGATTTCTCATCCAACTCTTGTTTCCCCGTCACAAGCAAGCCTTGCACCCAAGCTCAAAGAAATAATGGGAAAACTTTTGCATCCTCTCCAGAATTCATAATAGGAGATGATAAAGGGAAGGTCAAGAGGTCAGCTCGATGTCTTTCCTCCAGGGTGGGGGGCAGAGAGCGTGGTGCAGGCAGCTCTGAGGCTGTGATCAGCTCTGCAGACTCTTCACGTGTGAGCGAAGTGCTGCAAGAGCCCAACCGGACGCTCTTCGGAGACTTGAACAGCAGGGCCTTAGACTTCCCCTTTGTCGGGTTGGTTTTGATGGTGACTCAGCCACTTGTGGCTTCAGTAATAAACCTCCGGCTTGGCTGGGCTGTAAGGTTTGTCCCTCATACCTTCATGCTTGGCCCCGCAGCCCTGCAGCTGCATAGAAGTGTGCTATGATAAGGCTTGAGCTTGTCCTTCCCTTTGCTCTGGTAGGATCCTGTCTGAGGATGTGCACATCTTGCATTGGTTTTCTTAAATAATTTTTTTTAATCTGATGCACAGATAAGTGGGAAGGGGTATCCTGCATCATACCTTGGGTTCTTTCAGGGCTGGTTTTTTATCCTGCCTTGCCTAATTATTTCTCTGCTTCTCAGTTGCAGACCTGACCACGTCTGAGCACCTCACCTTGTTGCCATCCCTGAGCCTCTGAACTCAGCACCTGGACCACTTTGTTCTTGGAATTTTGGGCGTGGTAGCGTCTCACCTAAACTTTCCCTGCTTTCCTGAGTACTCCTGAAGACTTTAGGATTGCCATGGAGACCAGGGACATTTTAAACAGCTCCCGGCAAAGGGGGGGCGAGTCAGAGTTCCTGCCAGTGGCCTCAGCCAAGCCCCCAGCTGCCCCAGGCTGTGCAGGGGAGCCCTTGCTCTCTGCTCCCGGAACTGGGAAGGGGATCCCTGTGGGCGGAGAACGCATGGAGCCTGAGGAAGAGGATGAGCTGGGCTCAGGGCGGGATGTGGATTCCAACTCCAATGCTGACAGCGAGAAATGGGTGGCCGGGGACGGCCTGGAGGAGCAGGAGTTTTCTATCAAGGAGGCGAACTTCAGCGAGGGGAGTCTGAAGCTGAAGATTCAGACCACAAAACGGGCCAAGAAGCCCCCAAAGAACCTGGAGAACTATATATGCCCACCGGAGATCAAGATCACCATCAAGCAGTCTGGAGACCAGAAGCTGTCTCGAGCTGGGAAAAACAGCAAAGCTACGAAAGAGGAGGAAAGAAGCCACTCCAAAAAGAAGGTAGGGAGTCCTGCCTTAACAGACTTTGTGTATTCTTGCCATTTTATGTACAACTTTTTAGAGTCTCTTTGCTTATAACTTATTTAATTTTGATTTGCCGGTCTCCTTGTGGAAAAGAGAGGGCTTGACTCTCAGGATCCTCAGAAGAAGTGTTTCTGATATAATATTGACAGACTACCCAATTTGTCATTGCCATTTCTACCCATTTGAAAACAGCCCCTACTAGAATTACAGTTTTGAAGGTGTTCCTATATTTTGTGCAGTGGACAATGGCTGGGTCAACTCTGGCTGGGTAGTGAGAATATATTACAATTGCTGGCTTTGTATTCATGTCTCATCTTACTAGTTGAGAGGGAGGTGTTGGAAAAGTCTGGTCAGTCAAGACAGTCAAGACTTGGTAACACCTCCTTTCAGTTTCAGTCATTATTTCTGAAAGGGGTGAGCCACTTAGCTGATTAAGTAAGCCCCAGTGTTCACGGTAGTGAAGGCTTTTAGGGGCTGAAAAGTCATCCTTCTGAGAGGCCAAGGTGAGTCCCAGAGCTGGAACTGGAAAGGGCCTGGTGGTTGGCCTAAATCTTCACCAGAGACTTTGAAGACTGAATTTTGGATGAATTTGATTGACTTTTGTTTTCTTTCTTAATGTCAAACATGGGTGAGAAGGGAGCTCTCTTAAGTGATTGGGATGCCTCTTCATCAGGAAAGAATGAGTCTAGGCTTCCCTTTGTATCTTTGAGGGTTTGAGTGATTTTTGCTCTTTTTTTTTTTATAGAAATTTCTCTTTATTGTGACTATACTTCAGAGAACATTAGTTGCTTAATGATTTTTGCTCTTGAATGAGTTGTGGTATTCAGTATGTCTGAAGATGACCAACGTAGTCTAAAACGTGATCATTCCCAAATGTCTTTGAGTAAAGGAACCACTGTTTTGACAGATTTTCAGTCTTCTCAAGTATAGGTGCTATTCTAGATTACAGGTGCTAATTCGAATCTCTGTGTACACCTTCAGTCACATACTTGGGGTCTAGATGTGACAGACCAGCTGAAAATGACAGATGAATGAGTCTCTGGTTCTTCCTAGCTCAGAGATAGTCTGCAGCAGATCTGTCACCAGTCGTCTTTGAGCATTTTTGATAAAGCTGCTAGGAAGCATGCATTTCTTTAGGATAGAGCTGGTATTCTTCCTCAGACTTGATAGAGTTGCACAATTTGATGGGTGGAGGGAGGGGTTGGTAAAGGAAATAGGAAAGATCTGGTGTGAAAAACAACGTATGCAAGCTTTTAAGCAAACCAGTATATAATAAAACATTTATGTATTTAATTTTTTTAAAGGAGAGACTTTCTAAAGTGACAAGTGCCTGTTGTTGCAGCCAGAGCTGCCCTGATTTTTAAGTGGAAAGTCCCGGGTTGGGGCCCTCTCAGTGCCGGGCATACCAGGGAAGTTGATCACCTTCCCCTAACCTTTTGGAACACAAAGAACCTTTAGAAATTGGTTGATTTGTCAGACTATAGAAGTGGTGTTTCCCTGCTACCCCCATTACAGCTGTAGGGTAACTTCCTGGTTCTCTGTGCATAAAACCAAAGGATGTCTCAGCCCAGGTGGAAACTTGTGAGATTTTTACAAGAATCTTTACAATTATATCCTACTACTCCAATTAGATTCTGCTTAGAAATTGAGGTCATGTCTTAGCGTTGTATCTGTTTATCTTTGGACGTGAATGCCTTTGCTTCTGACCACAGAGATGCCCAGTTTTTTGTGTGTTGCTGGAGTTTTGTGTAGATGTTGTTGTTGTTGTTGTTATGTGCCGTCGAGTCGTTTCCGACTCATAACGACCCTATGCACAACAGCCCTAAACCCTGCTCTATCCTGCGCCAACCGCACTGCCTCTGACACACCCATCCCGATTACCCCAGTCACTGAATCGATCCATCTCATAGAGGGTCTTCCCCTCCTGCGCCGTCCCTCCACCCTCCCAAGCATGATGTCCCTCTCCAAGGACCCGTCCCTCCTGGCAACATGTCCAAAGTATGTCAGACAAAGCCCCAGAATCCTTGCCTCCAAGGAGCAGCTTGGTTTAATCCTCTCCAAGATGAATCTGTTTGTTTTCCTGGCAGTCCATGGTACATTCAGTACCCTTCTCCAGCACCACAGCTCAAAAGCATCCACTCTCCTTCTGTCCTCTCTAGTCATTGTCCAACTCTCTGATGCATAACAAGCGATTGCAAAGACCATGGCCTGTATCAGGCGCACCTTAGTCTCCAGAGAGACACTGTTGCTCCTGAGTACCTTTGAGAGGTCCCTAACAGCAGACTTTCCCATCGCGATACGCTTTTTGATTTCCTGACTGCTGGTGCCAAGAGTGTTGACTGTGGAGCCGAGCAAACTGAAGCTGTGAACACTCTCAATATCTTCGTCATCCATCCTGATGCTGCCAATTGGTCCAGTGGCGAGAATCTTTGTCTTCTTGACATTGAGCCTTAGTCCATACTGAAGGCTGCAGTCCTTGACCCTTCGCAGCAAGTACATGAGGTCCTCCTCAGTTTCAGCAAGCAGGGTTGTGTCATCTGCATAACGCAGATTGTTAATAGATCTTCCACCAATCCTGATGCCACAATTCTCCTCATAGAGCCCAGCCTCTCAGATAATCTGCTCTGCATACATGTTGAAAAGGTACGGAGACAGGATGCATCCCTGGCGTACACCCTTTCCAATTTTGAACCATGCAGTGTTACCCTGCTCTGTTCTGACTACTGCCTCTTGATCCAAGTACAGGTTTCGCATTAGCACAATTAAATGTTCTGGGATTCCCATTCTTCTCAGAGTCAGCCACAGTTTGTTAGTGTAGATAGAAGTCTTGAAAAGTATGGTGACTTTTGCCACCATCCACAACATTCCACCACTCTTCCATCCACTGGCAGGATTTGGGCAGTAATCCGTAGTGTTGAGTGGACAAACCAAAATTCACTGCCCTAGAAAGAGGTTAACACGTCCTTCTGATCGAGTACAACTTTCCCTAAAGCCACAAGAGTGTTCTCAAATGCTTCCTTTTGCATATGGAATGCTCCAGAATAAAATTTAAGAATTTGTTATGTGGGGAAGGTACAGTGGATCTCCTTTGTCATATCTGAAATTCCCAGTTTAGCCATTGAAACCCCAAAAGCTGAATGTTCTTACGGCCCTTATTGGGGGAAAAAAGGAGAGAAATTCACATACTTAAAAATGTGACCTACCAAGAATGCATTTTCAAGCCTCAACATTCAAGGGGGAATTAACTAAAGCAAAGGGCTGAAATTCAATATAGATCACTGCCTTGGGCCGATGATGTAATAGGAATACTCTACAACATTTTTAAGACTCTTGGAGCTTCCTTCATACGGCATTTGTTCATCTTTCTTGCATGCATTCCATTTAAGAGCTGTTATGTTTCAAACAACAAAGTTTCAGTTCTGAGTCTCAATCACTTGAAAGGTACGAGAATATTCTCTGACTGCTATTAGATTAGACTGTTAACTTTATTAATCTTCGAGTCCTGTTACTTTGAAAACATGAGCTAAGCGAGAAGAGACGCTTAGCTTGAAGGGTAGACACCCTGCCTGCCTGCTGTCTGTAGTGGGAAGTTTAGGGTCAGGAAGCTGGGAAATTTATATGAATATGAGACATATGATTAGGAACTTGGGAATATGGGGTTTATAATCAACAGGTCAGTATCTAACCTGGAAATTATGTCTTTTGGGCCTTTCTTATTTGATGAGCCACTCATTGAGAATTGCACTCACTAGAGTAGCCCTGAGAATCGGGTCTCATGATGGGAGTAAAGAAGGAAGCCGTTTGGGCGGATCCTTGAGCAAATAGAAATACTGATTTGGGGCAGGAATTAGCAAACTGAGAGCTGTGGGCCAAATCCGTCCTACCAGCTATTTTTATATAGTCTATAAGCTAAGAATGGTTTAAAAGAAATCCAAGATATATTTCAGAACATATGAATATTATACAAAATTCAAGTTTCTGACTTCCTATATAAAGTTTTATTGGAACACAGCCACATGAATGAATTTGCATTTTGTCAATGCCTTTGCTTTTGCACTAGAAGGACAGACTTAAGTAGTTGTGACAGAGACCCTGTGGCCTACAAAGCCTGGAGTATTTACTCTCTGGCCCTTATTAAAAATGTCTGCTGACCCTTGACAGAGTTTCAGGATAACAAGGGTTGGGTTTATTTTGTTTCGTTAGTAATGATTCAACTCTAGACATGAAGGCTGGGAGAAATTGGGTGTCACATTTTGATTTTGCGTTTCCTTTTAAATTTTTTTTTTTTCCTCCAGCAGACCATTTAATTCTGTCCAAACTGCTTGATCGCCTCAGGCAAAGACAACTTATACTGAATCCCAAATGATTCTTCTTTCTCATAAAAAGTATACTCTCTGGGATGATGTTAGTGTTCGTAAGTCTCATAGGCTCCTTCCTTTCCAGGTTAGTTAACTCTGAATTGATTGTTTGGTCAGAATAAAGTGGTGCTTGTGTGGCATCCACAAGACCTTTATCCCAACTTCCGAATCTCGTATTACCCCTCTAGAAGACATGATCAGGACAATGATGGTGGCTTTTTTTTGCCCCCCACCACCGTGGGAATGAATGTGTTTTAAGACAGCGAGGTTGGCCCAGGATAGAACGGCGTTTAGGGCTCTTGTACATAGGGTCGCTCTGAGTCACAAATGACTCGATGGCACATAACAACAACAACAACAACAACAACAACACCCATCACACTCCACTACCCTTCTATCCACTGGCAGGATTTGAGCAGTATTCTCTACTGTTGAGTGGGCAAACCAAAATTCACTGCCCTAGAAAGAGGTTAACACGTCCTTCTGATCTTAGGAAGACCCATTTCACACTCTATCCTATTGGTTCAAAGATGTGTGATTCCTCCCACCAGGGGCTATACCATTCCCTTTCCATGAAACATGGACCAGAAATGAAAGTTCTTTCTGGTTAAGGGCTTA